GCGCGCGCAAGCCCAAGTACAGGGAGTGGGAGAGGAAGAAGCAGGCTTCCCGCTGAGCAGGGAGCCCTATGTGGGGCTCGATCCCAAGATTCTGGCATCAGGACCTGAAGGCAGACACTTAACAACTAAGCCACCCAGGGGCCCCAGTCCCGGGATAATTTTAATGATGTCATTTTCTGGACCAGAGATCATGTAGTGGGGGCCGGTGGTCCTGCCTCTAGTGTTGGCCCCTTAACCTTCCTTGCTTATGCTTGTGGGGATCCAAGAGATGGGGTCATCCCAGCTGCATGTCCTAAGGTTTCCATTTGTCCCAGGAAGAGCTGCAAAGTTGAGTGGTGTTAGAACACACTTTTCCTAGAAACCTGGGGTTGATCCTATAGCTCTGACAGGTCAAGGAGATTGCCAACTCCCCCAGATAGGGATTCAGTGTGTGTGTGTGTGAACTTTCAAGAATACAACATCCAAATCACATGAACAATTTTTCTTGATTTTTTGGAGACATTCAACCAAGTAACAAGAAGGTTCTCTCTCTCTCTCTTTATTGTTTGTACATATATCTTTTAGCTGTGTATATACACATAGGCTAACTAATCTTTTAAAACTGGTTTTCTTTCAAAGTTTGGCAAAAATTCGGATTCTGTCATGGACATAAATGTTTCTTCCTGTCCTGGGTGAAAATTCCAGAGACCCAAAGTTTCCATATAGGTTCAGAATTTGTGCAAGTTAAAACAAAGGCAGACTGAGTGCCAAGACAGCGTACACACCCCAAAACTAGAACTTTAAAATCCTTTTACTGTGTTAACATGTTTGAGTCTTCTTGCCTGTGGCATTTCCTCACAAAGGCTTGGAGACTGGCACACTTGAACACTTTTCAAGGTGTAACCCTGTTTCTCTAAGCCAACCTGGCTGTATGGCAATGAAAACTGAAACTGAAGGAAAGGTTAACAGGGCAACCTGTTTATTTTAGGGATATTATACTGTATGGATATCACTCAAATTCAGTAGAAACTCTACCCACACTTGTTAAGTCTTGTTTCTATGAAAAGACCTTTACTTAACAGATGACGTTGTTATATTTCAGGGAGACCAACAGGAAAAATCTGTGATTTTTTTTTGAGCAATTCATAGGCTTTTCCTTTATAACTACCTTGATTTTGTAACTGATCATGGAATTACTTGAATTGATACCTGATAGTCTGAGGACTGATTTGTGATGTGCTTTGAACAGAGCATAGGACTTCCTATGTAACAATCGTGCCAACTACCTTCGCTTCAGCTTCCTTTCATTATTTATCCCGACTTTCCTTTGCCTGAATTGCTTTATCTAATCTTGCTCTATTCTATATAGAATATATACTATACATAATGCATATAATATAGAGATAGACACACAGTAAAATAGTAGGTCTTTGCTGCCGCAAATCCTTTTTTATGAAGAGGAAAAATTTGAACAAACAAATGAAATGAAATGAATTGTGCTCTCAAGCAGTGGTGTTCTGTTTCTTATAGTAATTTATCTTTTTTATGGATCTCTCTTTTTCTAATACTATGTTGATTTTGTCCAAATACATTATTGGAGTCCCTTAAAAATAAGTGGAACAGACCACTGGCCCTATGGCCTAGTCTTAACTTTTCTTTTTTTCCTTTCATTTGCTCTTATATGCTGGCTTCTATATTCTCAGGTCAGCCAGTCTCCCTCCGCACCGCCCCCTACACTCAATATCTGGTCCACCAGGGAGTCTAACCTAGAGCTGAGTGTGCACATTAAAGCCCTAGGCACAGCCCCACATCCCCAGGACATGGTCAATTGTGTAACAATCCACTCTCTGGTTTGTTTCAGGGAAGCTGACAGGTCTATATGGAAAACATCACAGAGAGTGGTATGCTGAAAAGAAATAATCGTACAGAACCACCCCGAGGAGCATTTAGGTCCCTATCATTAATCTTTGCCACCCTCCTATGAAAGAGGCCGTAGGTGAGGCCTCTCATCCACTGTTTTATAAATGAGGGAATGGGGCAGATCGGTGGGGGCAAGCCAGGGAATGGGGAGCTCGTGCCTGGTGGGGGACAGAGTGAGGGTGCCAGGAAAGAACACCTATGACCCTGGAGGTCGCTACCACACTCGGCCTCCTTGTGACATCTCCCATGCAGGCTGCAGCCTGAGCAAATGCAGGTTTTGTCTTTTGCAGGAGTGTTTCACTGTTCAGGGGACTGGGATCCGTACAAGGTCGTCACATCTCCTGCTTGGTTGTGTTCTCCCGCCCAGCCCCCACCCCACGCCTCACCCTAAACATCGGGCTGTCGGTAGCTGCCAAAGAGTTTAAATTCCAGCACCCCCCCCCCGCCCCGGGGCAAAGGTTTCCTCTAAGTCACCGCTCCAGCTCACCTCTTCCAGAAATGCTCTGACCCCCCACTCTGGGGATTTCCTCCCCAGACAAACCTGGACTGATTGCTGGCCCCGGCACCTTCTCTGCGGCCTCTTTGTCATGCGTGCTCAGTGCCCTGGGCTGAAAACGAGGTGGCGGCAAAGTTGGCTTTGTCCCCAATCTTCTGCTACACAGCTGTGCATAACGGGCATGGTTTTGTTTTCACCATTTTGCAACGTGTAGTCTCTCTGCCAAGCTGCATGTCTCCATATGGGCTTATTAACTATTTAATGAAAGTGATAACGAATCCCCTTCACCATTCTATTACTTGCAGAACTAACGTCCACAACACGACAGCAGAAAAACAAAACAAGTAAAAACGAGAAAAAAAGATAGCAAGATATCAAAATAGAGTAATTGGTAGTAAAATAAAAACAGAACCTCCTGCAGGACTGCGTCTTCCTGCAAGATGGAGACTAAACAGGTTTATGGTCCAATTGAAAGTGATACAATTTTTATAAGTTCCAGGATGCCTTTATTTTTCAATGTGTTTAGACAGGTATCTCTTTAAAAGCCCAGACAACTACTGTGAAATAAAATTGTATTTATCCTGGAAGCAGAAAGCTAGAAAGTTAAAACTGAAAATTCTGTGCAATAATTACATTACAAATAATAATAATGTCCACTAAGCACTTAATACATGGAGGGCCTTCTGAAAAATATTTCGTATGCACCTACCTCACTTAACACTCAGAAACGTTTATAAGGGAGGTTTCCCCATTTTGCAGATGAGAAAAATAAGTTTCAGAGAGGTTAGGCAACTGGCCCCAAGTCACATAGCTGGTAAACCACACAGCCTGGATTTGAATGCGGTTTTTTTTTTCCCTGTCCCATGATCCCCATTCTCGGGTGTTGTAAGCTTCTAAAGTGCCTTCTGAATTACCACGTGAAACTCCTCTTTATGTGTAGCACATTTTATTTTTTTTTAAAAGATTTTATTTATTTATTTGAAAGGGAATGGGAGAGAGAGCACCAGAGGGGGGAGACCCAGAGGGAGAAGCAGACTCCCCGCTGAGTAGGAGCCCCAACGGGGACAGGATCCTGGGACCCCAGGATCATGACCTGAGCCAAAGGCAATCGCTTAACCAGCTGAGCCACCCAGGCGCCCCGTAGCACCATATTTTAATAGCGAGTCTCTGTAAGATTCCTCGGGGGGAAACACCCACCTTACTGAACTAGAAATTGGATTCCTAGTTTCAAGGGTGTTTCAGATGAAATCATGAATCTGAAAAACCTTTGGAAAATATAAAAGCATTCTACAGAGGGAGCAGGCTGCCACTGCTCTTAGGCACGGTAATTCTCAGTTGACTGGAATATTCTGTGCCCAAGCACCTGCTTACACAGGTAACCTGTGACCCGTCGTGGCTACTGCAGAACTCCCGTTTGTTAGAGGTTCCACGTTACAACCTCAGGCTCTTCCGATTTCTTTCTGGGCCACGCCTGTGTCAGGAGGTCCTCCTTACCAGGCACCGAAGCTGCTGATGTGTAACAGAGCGTTAAGATGCAGAGGTGCAACACATTACAGTGGGGTCATCACCAAAGCAGCGGATTCCCCCCCCCCCCCGGGGTTTTCGGGCTCCCAGTGAACACGCCTGCTGTTAATTAGCAGCGGGCAGGGCCGGTGATCAAGGGCCCCTTGGCGTGTCACCTGGTCTTTGAGGAGTTTCCAGCGCTCACTCGCGGTGGCTCACGTGGCGTGGAAACCTCGTGAAAGCCGCTCGGGCCAGGGGCCTGTAAGATCCCCACCTACCCGGGTGGGGAACAAGAAGGGAGAAAGGAAGGAAAGAAAGCGCGCTCCTGGCTTGTCCCCTCCTCCAGTGAGGAAGAAAACAGAGACTTTCCGAACAAATACAACGACCAGAGAACTTTCTTCTAGGATTTTCAGAGCCCTGTGAGCTGTGCGGCTGCAGCCGTGGAAGGGCCGCTGGGGAGAAGCGTTGAGTCCGTCCGATTCCTTCCTCCCGAATCCCGCCGAGAGGAGCACGGGTGGCGGGAAAGCCGGGCATAGGCGCCGGAGGGCGAAAGGCGACCCGAGGCCTCCCCGGCCTTCGGAAGGGACCTGACGCCAGGAAGGACGCTTATTAACCCTTGGGCTACCCCACCCCACCCCCCCGCCGCCGGGGTGCGAGCCGGCTCCTCCTCCTCCGGGTTGGACTAGCCTGGGGCAAGATGCGCACGGCCGCCGGCTCTGCGCGCCCCGCCGGTCCCTCCCAGCCCAGGAGGAGGCGACAGGGGAGGGCGCTGCCCGCAGCCGAGCCCCGCGAGTCCGTGGATCCCGAGTGAACATCCCGGGCGAAACGGCTGAGACCCCGCGACTCCCGCGCCGGCCGAGCACCGCGGGCGACGCGTCTCCCTGTTCCTCCGCCACATCTGCACGCACACCCCCCCACCCCCGGACTCCTGGCCCGACCCCCGGCTCCCGGACACCTCCAGCCCCGCGCTTCGCGCAGGTGGCGCAGACGCCCCTGCCCTCCGGCGCCCCCTGCCGGGCAGAGGGAAGGCGGCGGCCGCGGAGGAGCCGAGCACAGGCGGGGAGAGAGCTCCAGCGCCGGGAAGAAGCCGGGAGCTTCCCTGATGGTGCCGCCGCCTCCGAGTCGGGGAGGAGCGGTGAGGAGGCAGCTGGGCAGGAGCCTGGGTCCGCTGCTGCTGCTCCTGGCGCTGGGACACACGTGGAGCTACCGAGAGGAGCCCGAGGACGGCGACAGGTAAGCGCTGCCAGCCCCGGCTGGGTGCGCGCCCGGCTCGTGGGGTGGGAGCGGGACCCCGGCCCCTGCGGGCACCCGCGCGCCCTGGCTCCGCTGGCACGGGCTGGGCGCTCCACTACCCTGGGCGGCATTAAATCCACGTCCTGCCCGGGCTCCCCTGTCAGTGGGTCAGAGCTCCCTGGTACGGCCACCCCGGGGCTGGGTTCGCGCCCGTGGACCCCCGCTCGGTCCCCGAGTCCGCGTACGCGGACCAGCGCCTTCTCGGCGCGCCGGGACGCAGCTCCCGCCACCCTCGCACGCCCTGCGCTGCGCTCTCCCGCGGACAGCCAGCGAAGTGGCGGCTTCCACTGTCTTCTAGAGAAATCTGCTCAGAAAACAAGATCGCCACGACGAAATATCCGTGTCTGAAGCCTTCGGGTGAGCTCACCACGTGTTTCAGGTGAGTCTCGCGGCTCTGCTGAGTCCGCCACGCACCCGGGAACGCGGCTCCGCAGGGGAGGGCTTTGGAGACTCGCTTGGTGACCGAGGGCCGCGGTCGCGCGGGGACGTGCTTGGGGAGTTCTTCGGTGCAAGCCTTTCGGTGTGGTTTTGGGGCCAGAGCAATGACGGGCAACCAAGCGTGCACCTAGAGTTTCCACCCTAGGACCCTGACTTGCTGGCCGCTTGCTGGAATACTTTGCGTGATGGAGAAGAAGAGGCTGAAAGTTCATCAGAAAGTGGATGGGATTGTGGGTGTAAACTGCGCCGTAGCAAAGACGGATGACGGCGTTCGTGTTTTGTTTCAAAAACAAAGTTGACAAGTAGATACTTGGTCCTTGACTGCTTTTTTGACCTTCTGTCGGGACAGAGTGTAACACTTTGAGGGCCACTGGAGACAAAACGATGGAGGTGGTTTGCGGGCAGTGGACGTGGTTGGGGGCGGGGGGGCTTGTCTAGGAAGAATGTTGAGCCACAAGGAGAGTCCTCTCTGAAAGTGCGTTCCACAGATCACCTGGGTGCTTGTTTAAATTACCCTGACCAGGGCTAGGGAATCCATTTAGATTGGAAAATGTTTCCCAGGCGGTTGTCATTTGAAACAAAAGGAATTACGTTCCCTGCTTGCGGCCTTTTGGAGGTGAGGGTTGATTTGTTTTCACCAAAGTCTTTGGTTTCTGGTCGAGTGCTTTGACTGGATGGGAGGCATAAATCCATAAACACGAGTTGCTTTTTGAAAGTACTGGGCAAGATACTGGGAATCGCACACTCCCGCCAGACTGTTTCTGTGGGTCCTCTGCTCTGGGGCGCCAGGATAAATATTGGGTAGTACAAGGTAATAGCAATCCCCAGAAGTGAATTTGGAAAAAAGCTTTCCTCTTCATAATGTTGTAACTGATGAATCCACCGCCATGCTTTTGGAGCCGCAGAAATGTTAGTTCCCATGCTCAAAGGTTCAGATAGAAGTGGTTCCAGGACTGGTGAGTTTGTGGTATGAAAACCAGGAATTTGTTACCTTGCATACTGTGTTTTAAAATTTGTTGGCTATGGAATGACCACCATTGTTAAAGTGAGGCTCGGGCTTGGGAAGGGTTGTCTTTTCCAGGACAGGGGTGCTCAACACCCGTGGAATGTGCCGGGGCCGGGGCGGGGCAGGGGGAGTGTATTCATTCTGTAGGTAAAGGCTTGAAGTGGTTAACTGGGTAGGCAAGGTCCTCTAGCCGGTGGGATGGCCGAGGGTGCTGGCCAGAGGATTGCTTGCCTGGTGCTAGTCCCGTGTGTCCTCCACATGACCACAGTATTGGGACATGTTGTTTTCCTATCATCCTAGCACAAAGCCTCTAACTTAACAGGGAAAGTGTCCCTGAGATGGTTTACTCATTTGTTCAGTCCCTGAAGGTCAGACTGCGCATAAATCAGGGGCACTTGCAGAGTGCATGTCCAATTTTCAGAAACCACTGGTGCCTGAGGAGTGTTCTAGGTTGACTGTTACTCCTCTTCCCTGGTGTTTTAAAAACAGTTTGTAAAAAGTTTTTCTTTTTACACTGAGACTCAACAAGAGACACTACCAGTGTCTTTGTAAGTGTTCTCATGAACAGCTATCTGAAAGGACAGCTTATGACAACTAACAAAAAGCCTATTTTATATCACAGAAAAGTAAGGAACTTTGTTTTGGGGAGTGAGTGGAATGGGAGAAGGGGTTTTCAGCTGGGGAAAATGGGTTTGTTGCTTTCCTTCATGGATCCAGAGTTCTGTGTATATTCTGTTGGTTTTATACCATTCCCATGACTCAGTAATTTCCTAAAGACAAACTTGGTTGGGAGTTGCTTCCCCTGTTTGCTTTTGAACGCCAAGAATGGAGGGACTTGAGCTTGGAATCCTCTTGGTTCATTGTCCCGGCTCCTGTAGACCCTTGCTGCTCCAAGTGGGATCTGGAAACCAGCAGCAGTATCCTAGGAGCCTGTTCCCAAACCTTCCGAAGCCTGTGTGTTAATGCAAGCACTTAATACAGAAACCACTGTCCTCAATCTGGTCACCATGCAAACCCATTTAAATCCTTCGAGGGGCACAGAGGCTTCTCCAGGTGCACGTGTTGTTAATCCTCCCGCATCAACCAAAAACGAAAAGAACCAGCCTTCCAGGAGACCAGACCTCTCAACTCTTGGATGACCCTTAATTAAGCTTAAGTGCAGTCACTGAGGTGCTTCTTAGGGAATGCTGACAGATGGCCCCGATTTTACCACTGGCCCTTTGCACAGTTTTTAGCACAAGTGAGAGAACTACAGAAGTCCTTCTGACCTTGTTAAATGATTTTATGGGACTTAAAAAAAAAAGTCATGGAGGATGCGTTCACTCCTATCATGTTCCTGGTAGTGTTAATCTGATCTGTTATTCCTAAAAACCTATGGAGACCTAAATGATGTGGAGAAGGAAAGCTGGGTGGGTTCAGAATCTTTGTTGTGGAGCAACCCCCCCAACCATGGCCTTTGTACCCTTGTTTCCTGTGGTTTCGCTAGAGCACCTTTTCAGGTTCCCCTTCTGTATGTGAAATGATGGCCTGAGGACTTTGAACTCCGCTCTCTTCTCTCCTCTTCACATACATTATCTCTAATCCTCAAAGCGTTTGTATTTCAGTTTTACAGGGGAAGATCCAAAACTCCAGGATTAAGTAAACTTGATCAGGGTCACAAAGTTAATACACACGGGAGCCAGGATTCAAACCCAGGTTTGTCTGACTTCAAAGTCTGGGCCCGGGGCCCTTTTCATCATCCCGGAGGTGCCTACAGAGATGGCAGAACTTTCAGGATCCTGGGGTCTAAGGAAGATGATAAATTCAGATGGCTGTAAATTCACGACATTAGATAGAAAACTCCAACACTCTCCATAACCAGTGGTTTTTCAGTGACCACTATCCTGGAGATCTGTCCTCTGTAACTGACTTCATATATTCTCCTGTCCTATGCAACATTGGTTCATATGTGTATAGCTTTCCTTCCTTAAAGGATTTCGTAATCACAGGGCCTGTCTCTTGAGACTCTCTACCCCAATGTGCATTGGGCCAAGTGCCCAACGTTTAGCAGACACTTGAGTGAATGCCAGTGACTGCTTACCAAGCTTAGAGGATGTACTGCTCAGCATTATAATCGAACTTAGAGTATGCTCCTTTATTAGTAAAGATTTCAGCGGGGTGTGATTTATCTAAGGCTCTATTATAGCCAAACTAAGCTCATACATTTATTAGGGTGTTACCCTTTTTGTGTCTGTTAGGTTATTCCCCATGAGTTTCCTCCCCACCCCCCATCCCCGACCATGTAGTTTTGAAAAAAAGGTTCATGTTTACCATTCATTATTGGGTCTTCATTAAAATGACCTGTTAAAGGCTTTTAAAAATGAACACATTGTGTAGGGAAGGTCCAGAAAATCCCATTTCTTTTTAATGATTGTATTTGAGAGAGACACAGCGAGAGAGGGAACACAAGCAGGGAGAGTGGGAGAGGTAGAAGCAGGCTTCCCGCTGAGCAGGGAGCCCGATACGGGGCTTGATCCCAGGACCCCAGGATCATGACTTGAGCTGAAGGCAGACGCTTAACAGCTGAGCCACCCAGGTGCTCCTGGAAAATCCGATTTTTGAGTGAACTGGTATCTACTAAACATTCTAACTTTTCTGACCCAGTAAGGGTTTATTGAGCATCTATTTTGAGCTTAAAATAGCCTTACAGAATGTGCATAGAACAATAAATTACTAACTCTGGTCTGTTTATAGACATGATATTTAGACTCAGACCTTTGAAACTAACCAATATACAATGGTAGGTGGTCTAGTTCAAAGTCATTGTCAAAACATTGTCAAAAACATTGTACTGTCAATGATGGAGAAGAGATTAGAAGCAGGTAGGAATCTCTGAGCAAGAGAAAATACATTCTTTAACACAGTGTTAGGTGTTCAGATTGCATTGGCCGTGGCTCTCTTCTGTGGCTCATGGACGGCCATGGCTCCTAGCTTCCCCTCAGCAGTATTTGCCCCTCTGGATCTCATTAGGTCCTGCTCTTAGGATCCTGTTCCTGCAGGAGATGATGACCTAGGGATGCAAAAACTCCTAGTTTTCTGTAATATAAGTGTTGCCAAATCCTGTTAAAATGTGGAAGTTAACGTGTTATTTCTGCAGATGGGTCTACATGGGGTTCGGAGAACAAGAGTCTCTTAGAGCAGCCCTACCAGCTTGAGAGCTCTGGACTTGAGCTGAGGCCTCATTGGAGGGAAGACTGGGGGATGCACTATCTGGGAGGTCACAGGGTTCCTACAGAGGGCTGGGAGGTGAAAACCTGCACAGTAATAGGAATTGTGCCAGTTGGAAGGCCACTTTGACCAAATTGTTTTGTGACTTTGAAGTGGTTTTTTTTTTTTTTTTAAGATTTTATTTATTTATTTGACAGATAAAGATCACAAGTAGGCAGAGTGGCAGGCAGAGAGAAGGGGGGAAGCAGGATCCCCGCTGAGCAGAGAGCCCAATGCGGGGCTCCATCCCAGGACCCTGAGATCATGACCCAAGCTGAAGGCAGAGGCTTAACCCACTGAGGCACCCAGGCACCCCAAAGTGTTTCTTAATCTACCTTAGTGGTCTCCTCTGTAAAACGGAGATTCTATTAATATTGGAGTTACAGGGTTCCCGTGAAGGATTAAATGAGCTGACCTATGTAGAAATGCTGGACGAACGTTACCCCTCATAATCACTTTGAATCCCCCCAAGTCTGGTATGTTGATGCACATAGTAGGTGCTTGCTGGACACTCGCTGAGTTTTGGACAATATGGGAGAAACTTTTGACAAGCAAACTCACCCCACATCCAGAAACAAGGTGTTTATACACCACTGTACACACCTGTTTTCAGAGACCTTTTCAAATGTAGGAAAGCCCCAGAAATCCAGGGCCTCAGTGGGAAAAAAAAAAAAGAAAATCACAAAGCA